TATATATATATATATATTCATGTCCCCTGAGAGAATGGGAATACTTGTCGTCACACAAATGTGTAAACAAACGTTTCTGTTTTCAGTCTGCAGGGTGAATAAAGATGAAATATGGTTTTAGTTTTTCTCAATCTAAAGATTGTTTAGAAGCAGTCTGAAGATTGATAATTTGGCTGGGATTGATAATTCTTGTGGTCAAAATAAATAATTGTCTCTAATTTAAAGCAGCTTTATAAAACAAAATTAAAGCTTATATATATATATACCACAAAGGTATAACTGAAAGAGAGTCCAGCAGCATCCTGTGAGAGCTTGTGATGGTGACTGTTCAGAGCAGGTTCTGTGCTTCTTCCAAAGGTTCATATTCCCATGATGCAATGCGTCAAGTACAACATATAGAAAAACACGTGTAAAATCTCAGAACGGAAAATTCTTTCTAATGTTTACGCTAGTTATACCACTATTTTAATGGACTTTTTTTTTTACAGTAAATAATATTTATGTTTGTTTTGTCCCACATCTTTTAATACTAACAAGAAAAAAAAAGACAGGTAGTAAATCTTTCTGTACATCTTGAGTATCTTGACAGTTGTGTTATTTACAATGGGTTGGTCATATAGTTGTCACTGTCATATATATTCACCTTATTGTTGATCTGTGGAAACTCGTCTCTTTTTTAAGTTGTATTTAAACTGAGACTTTTGACATGTTAGCTGGGATTTTCATGTCGTATTGAGTGAATCTCTTGTCACTATTACCAGAAACAGTAGCAGAGGCACACCTTGGCCTGACAGCGTAGGATATACTGCACCGTTGGAAATAGTGGCAGTCTCTTTGACACAAACTTACAAACTAGAGCTTCTTTTTGGTTAACAACAGAAACATCATCTCCCTCCTCCAACTCCTGAAAATAGACATTTATTTTGCCAATCATCTGTTGGTTCTGTTTGTGTGATGTGCATGTGTGCTGCATGGGAGGACTTTACCAGGTTTCTCAATCTCTGACATTATGACAGACACTTCAGTAATTGATTTTAAAAATCCAACACATTAGTAATTACTTTATTAGTGATTACTGTAAAAAATGAATTATTTTATAAGAATTAACTTGTTTCCTTTATCCTGAAAATAACTTTTTAAATACCACCAGTTTGGTATAATCCTTTATATGTTATAGTGTAACAAATTATAGTTTTTATTTACAGGATTTACAGTATTTAAAATTTTAAAAAGATGTGCTATTTTTAATTCAAGCTTTATTATTTACATATTTAATTTAGTGTGAGAAGAAACAGAAATTTCTGTTTTGAATATTTGTTGAGTTCATCCTATAGTTACTTTAAAGGGATCCTTGATTAGTTGTAACATTACTTTATTTGATAAATATTTATTTTAACTGTAAAATAAAGACTGTAAAAATACTATGGGCTGTTTAGTGTAGTAAATTTTTTAAAACATATTTTAACACGGACGAAGCCATTTTATTTACACAAAAAGCATTCTGGGTAAATGATGACGTGGATAGGTCATCGGTGCGAGGCTACTAGCGAGCTGTATCCACCCTGAAGTTTAATCTTGGACAATATCTGATGATCATCTCTTTTAAATGAAACCAGAGAGCGTTGACAGAGAGGAGACGGTAGAAATGATTCAGTCTACAACTGAAAATATAGATGGAGGACAACAGAGCTGCTTCATGGAATAAGAACCTCAGCTTAGCCTGTTAGCCTTCGCACTAGTGTCGACGCTATTAGCTTGGTGCTAGCTCGATAAACTAACAAGCTAAACTGAGGTCCTCCATCCATATTTTCAGTTGCAGACTGAGTCATTTTTGCATTTCCCTCTCTGTCATGTGTATGGAGGACCACAGTGATGAGAGGAGAATGTGTAACACTGAGCTAATACATATATATGGTGATAGTGTTCGGGCTAAAGCTTTTTTTTTTTTTTTTTCGGGCAAAAGCTAACAGGCTAAGCTGAGGTTCTTCTTCCATGAAGCAGCTCTATTTTCCTCCATCTATATTTTCAGTTGTAGACTGAATCATTTCTATCTTCTCCTCTCTGTCAACGCTCTCTGGTTTCATTTAATCTTCAGATATTGTCCAAGATTAACCTTCAGGGTGGATATAGCTCACTAGCAGCCTCGCACCGATGACCTATCC